TTGGTACGAAGTGTCCTTCGTCAACAGTGATGGACCGTGGGGTGCGATTAGGGCACGGTTGTCGATCACAGATGAAGAAAGGAGCTTTGTCTCCGTCGCTTTTCGGGTCGTCACGAGAGACGTCGACCTGCTCCTGGGTGTCGAAGGCGTGCTCAAGTCGAGAGCAGTCGAAGAATTCGTCAGCCACGGTGATGGGGGGAGGAAGGGGAGGTGCGCGTGCTACGAAAGGCCGTGCTAGCTAGCTTACACCTACGGCGCCCAAGAAGACACTAAGGTTCGCAGTTCACGTGGGGCCCAGTACTGCTTTTGGCTAGTATGCAGCAGAAACCTAAGCCACGCGTCCGTGAGGACAAGTATCGCCCACTGAAGTGCAGATACCGAAGAGTTCGTCCCTTAAGTGGTGGCGATGTATCGTAGGCTATCTAAGTATCGTAGGGTATAGTAGGGGTGCGCACCACCCAACCTATAGGAGAGGAAAGATGAGTGTTTTTTGTTTTGGAACGCCGGCAGCGTTGAGGAGTTTCGACCTAATGTCGCGACTTAGGGTCGAGCGACAGGGGAAAACTAAACGCTGGGGGCGTTCGACTTATCTTACCGAAGCGATGGTGAGCTAGGCTCAAACCTAAGGCTAGGGACAAGAAGTGTATTAGTTAGTAATGTAAGAAAGGATACAACTGGAGGCTTACTGACCTAGGGACAAGAGGTCGAAACTGAGGTCCCTAGGGCAGCAGAGGCCGGCTTATATACAGGGGAGATTAAGGGCAGGCTGTGCGCGTTGGTCCGTGCACAGCTGGTCCGTGCACAGCATGCCGACGCGGCCCCGGGGGCCGGTGAGTCAGAGCGGCTGTGTCAGCGGGGCCCGAGCTGTGCCGTGCACTGCCGCCCTATCTAATCTAATCGTACAGTAGATAGTGACGCGTCCATATCGGGCATGTAGTACAGAGGTCGCGGGTTTGAGCCCGCGAAAAGGAAAAATTAAAAAACGGCTAGACGCCGTGCCAACTCGTGACAACCATTGAGCTCAAGGTACAAGTTGCGCTGAGCCTGCTCGATGGCGATGCCCGCACCTGGGCCACGCCTTACTTCGCCCAACTCGCATCAGTGCAGATGGGTGTGCAAGGGGTTACAACCCCCTTCAGGAACGAAGCGGCCTTCACCGCTGCCTTCAAGGCTCGCTTCGGCAATCTCGACGATGCGGCAGCAGCCCAGGTAGAGCTGGCGAAGCTCTGCGCGGACAAGTCGGTCCGCGAAAAACGCACTGCGGCGGAGTTCTCCGCGCTGTTCAAGGGTCCGGCGGACCGTTCCGGGTATGGGGACCTGGAACTACGCGACAAGTACCTGAGCGGTATCCCCTCCCGCGTATATTGCAAGATCGAGCTCGAGACCTTCACCACGTGGCGAGCCGCTGAAAAGCGAGCCACTGAGGTCGAGCAGATCCTCGACATTAGCCGGGCCCGTCGACCCGAGTTGAACAACTTCTTCTCGGCCCGAGGTCGAGGTCGCGGTGGGGCACGTGGTGGTGCACCCTCGTCACACGCAGCTTCGGCCAGCATCAATGCGGCCGTCGGAAAAGGAGACTTCCCCGGCACATGCTTTGGCTGCGGGAAGCAAGGGTACCGTCATTTTGAGTGCCCTAACTGTAAGGATAAACCTTACACAAAACGCGCCGACGCGCGGGCTACGGTTGCCTCGGGTTCCACCCAGGCGGCGACAAGCGCCCCCGTCGCTTCATCCTCGGCGAGTATAAGCGCCGCTTCAGCGAAATCGGAAAGTTCCGAGCTGGCGGACTTAATAGCACAGATGAAGTCGATGCGCGAGGAGCTTGAACACTATCGGGCAATAAAGGAGGAGTCTTTTTGATCCGGTCCGCGCTTTGTGCCGCACGCGTCGGGCCGCGTAATAATAATCTGTACAATGTATTGGTGACTGCGAATGTGTACGAGTTGGACCATGGGTCCCAGCATTTCCACATCCCGGTGCGCCTTAAAGGAGAAAGACGGCACAAAGATATAGTTGCAATGGTGGACAGCGGAGCCACCACGAAGTTCATCAACAAGCGTTTCATCACGGAGAATTGAGTATGAACGCGGAAATTGAAAGAGCCAATTCCGCTTTACAATATCGATGGAACGCTCAATAAAGACGGAAGCATCTCGGAGGTAGCTGTGCTACAGATGCAGATAGGAGAGCACGTCGAGAAGACGGTGTTCACGGTCACGGACATAGGTCCAGAAGATGTGATCGTCGGGTTGGATTGGCTGCGAGAGCACAACCCCGAAATCGATTGGGAGTCAGGCTCCCTGAAATTATCACGATGCCCTGAAACGTGCAGTGCCAGGAAGACTGGCCGGATGGAGCAAGCAGCGACTGCGCGTGATACGGGGGTCAGGCCCACGGCGCGCCGACGCTCGCAGAAGTCCAGACGGTCGGTCATAGGTGCCTGCCGGAGTAAGGTACTCCCGGACTTCGAACCCAACAATGATCTGGTGGAGGTAGAGTGGGACGAAGCTGACTTGATCGAGGCCTGGGAGCAGGGTGTCACGCTTTCCGGCGCCCCTCAGCTGTTCGTCGCAGCGGGGCACACGTATTCCCAGCTGTTTGCTGAGGAAGAGATCAAAAAGAAGGTCGTTAAGGCCGCCGAGGAGTCGGTACCTAAACAGTACCACGAGTTCCTGAACGTCTTCTCCAAAGAAGCATCAGAACGGCTACCCGAAAGGAAGCCTTACGATCACGCGATCGAACTCGTACCCGGCTACTCGACGTTCCACTTGAAGGTGTATCCCCTGTCGAACAACGAACAAGAGGAACTGGACAAGTTCCTAAAAGAGCAGTTAGCAAAGGGCTACATACGGGAGTCGAAGTCGCCAATCTCATCCCCCTTTTTCTTCATCAAAAAGAAGGAAGGGACGCTTCGACCCGTACAGGACTACCGCCGATTGAACGCGATCACGGTCAAAAATCGTTATCCCTTGCCGTTGATCGCCGAAATGGTGGATAAGCTCCGAGGCGCTACGCTCTTCACGAAGTTCGATGTCCGATGGGGATACAATAACGTCCGGATCAAAGCCGGTGATGAGTGGAAGGCGGCCTTCGTGACTAACCGGGGGCTGTACGAACCCCTGGTGATGTTCTTCGGTCTCACCAATTCCCCGCTACCTTCCAGGCCATGATGAACGAGATCTTCCATGATCTCATCGTCGGCGGCAAGATCCTTGTGTACCTAGATGACATACTCATCTTCTCCACCAACAAAGAGGAGCATGAAAAGGTCACACACGAGGTTCTTCGTCGCCTTCAGGACAACGATCTATTCCTGAAGCCTGAAAAATGCGAATGGAATGTTCCCAAGGTCGACTACGTCGGCTATGTGTTCGGTGGCGATGGATCCCGTGAAGCTTAAAGGTATCAATGAGTGGCCGGTGCCCCGGAACAAAAAAGATGTTCAGAAGTTCCGGGGGTTCTCCAACTTTTACCGCTGCTTCATTAAGGACTTCACTAAGATCTCGCGACCACTCGACCGGCTCACAGGGAACGACCCCTGGCATTGGGGCGAGGAAGAGCAGCACGCCTTCGATGAGCTCAAGCGGCTCTTCGCGACGACTCCAGTCCTAGCGCTGTACGATCCCAATCGAGAGACGCGCATTGAGGTTGATGCCTCGGGATACGCCACTGGCGGCGTATTGATGCAGAAGCAGGATGACGGCAAATGGCATCCCATTGCCTTCAGATCACATGCGATGGACCCAGCCCAGCGTAACTATGAGATCTACGACAAGGAGATGCTCGCGATCATTGAGGCACTGGACGATTGGCGCCACTATCTCGAGGGGTTACCCAATCAGTTCGAGATCGTGACCGATCATAAGAACCTCGAGTACTGGCGTACATCCCAGCATCTCACGCGCCGTCAAGCGCGATGGTCGCTGTTCCTGGCTCGCTTCGACTTCCGCATCACGCACAAGGCCGGGACGTCCAATGGAAAGACTGATGCCCTGTCGCGTCGATCAGACCATCAGATCGGCGATGAGGACGATAACACTGATCAGGTAGTTCTCAAGCCAGAGCGCTTCTGCATTGCCTCCGCCAGGCGCGGTCATGCCTCGGTGACAGCCAATCAGTCGCTTCTGAAGCGCATCAGGGAATGTTCGGAGAAGGATCGGGAGGTGGCCGAGGCACTTGAAAAGGTGCAGGACCTCGGACCACCCCGACTGCAAAGGGGTTTCGAGGAGTGGAATGCCAAACAAGGGCTCCTGCTGTTCCGCGGATGTGTGTACGTCCCAAAGAACGCGGAGCTCCGGCGGGATATCGTCAAGATCCACCACGACTCGCCGATCGCCGGTCATGGTGGTCGTGCCAAAACCCTGGAGCTCATGTCGCGGAATTACTGGTGGCCTGGGATGTCCAAATTTGTCAATGAGTACGTAAGCACCTGCGACGTGTGCAACCGTACCAAGACATTCCCAGCCAAGCCCCAGGGTCCGCTGAAGCCGAATGAGATCCCCGAGCGCCCATGGCAGATCATCACGACCGATA